TTAGAATCCAATGTACAACTCTATAATTCAAGTTTCTCCTGAGCTCTTTCTCTAGTCTTATCCCTAGGAAGGATATCATCAACAAAAAATATACACTAAGGTACATCCTTCTGTAAATGTCCAGTAAGAGCATACATAATTAAGGAAAAAAGATATGGGCTTTGATCCCTGATGTAATCCAACTGAAATAGGAAATACTTGGTCATTCCTCCTGTTTGAACACAAATAACTGCTCTAGTATACATATCTTTAATGACTTGAATACAAGTCATATCAACACATTTCTTCTCTAAAACTCTCCAAAGGACTTTTTTTGGAATCTTATCGTAAGTTTTTTCTAAATCAATAAAAATCATATATAAATCCTGCTTATTCTCTCCGTAATTCTCATCAAACCCCTCAGTAAATGTATAGCTTCCATAGTGCATCGGCCCGACATAAATTCAAACTGATTATGAGAAATTTTTATATCAAGTCTTACCCTATGTTCAATTACCCTCTCCCATAATTTTAAAGTATGACACAAACTTAATTCCTCTATAATTTGTACTTTTGTGCATCCCCTTTATTTTTAGAAATGGGGACCAAGATACTCTTCCTCCACTCCTCAGACATCTTTTTAGTTTTTAAAATAATATTAAAGAGTCTAGTAAGCCAAGAAATTCCCAAATCTTCTGAATATTTTCATACTTCAATTAAGATATCATCAGGTCCTACTAATTTTCAACCTTTAGTTTATTTTAAAGCCTCATCAACTTTTTTTTTATTAATGTGATGGTAAATATAAAATGTTTTATTATTATTAATAATATTAAGATCACTAAGGTCGAGCGTATTTTTAGAAACTTCATTGAAAAACTTATCAAAATAGCTCACTCACCTATGTTGAATATCTTACGTTAAGAAAAATATATATATTTTTATTTTATCTTTAATATAATTTACTTGAATTGAATACTTTTCTTTTATCTCTGTTTGGTTAATTTATGCATATATTTTTCACTCTTTTTAGTATCTAATCTATTATAAAGATCACAAAAAATAGAATTTTTAGCGCACAAATTGTTCTTTTAAACTCCCTACGGTGATCACCTTATTTTTTTTAGTTCTCTAAGCTTTTACATTTAAATAAATTTTTATAACATAACTTCTTATATTTTATCATTTCTTGCATATTATTATTCCACCACAAACTTTTCTTATTTATAAAAAAAGCTTTCCTTTTGATCTCCTAGTACATCTTTGTCTTGTTTAATAGTGTTTGTTACTTTATCCCACATAATTCGTTTCTTCACGAACATCCCGAATCTCAAAATTTTGAGCTTTACTCATAAATTATGTCTTTTATGTGCCCCCATCTAATTTTATGATAATATTTTTTTTTTTTTTATTTTACAACTTTTCATCTTAAAATCATAAACTAATAATCAATGTTGAGTACAAAAATTTTCATTTAGAATGACCTTACAATCTTTTTACTCTCGACGATCTCTTTTCTTCATAAGAAAATAATCAATGTGTATTTTTAGATCCATTATTATAAGTAATAATATGCTTATCTTTTTTTCTTAAATAAAGTATTAGCAATAACAAAATGATATACTAAAAAAAAATCTAATATGGTTCTACCTTCTTCATTAATCGTTTCAAAACCGTTGTCACAATGAATATTTCTAAAATCTTCCACATCTCTATTAACATGTCCATTTAAATGCCCTCCGATAAAAAATATTTCTTCAAGTGGTATCATTTGTATAAGTTCTTCTAGGTCATTCCAGAATTTTTCTTTTGAACCTATATATGAACCTACTTGAGGAACATAAACACTTACAAATTAAAAATCTTAGTATTAACTACAATTTTTAGGGCTATAATTTTATCTCCAATTTTATTAATTTTTAACAACATTATCTTTTAAACTCTTATCTATAATTACGCCTACACCATTTCTAGTGCGACTCCTACCTGAATTTCGAAGTTTAAAACCTAAGCTATCAATCTTCTTAGTCTTTTCTCCAACCCATTTAGTTTCTTAAATACATAAGATATTTTCTTATGAACTATTATATCAACTAATTCTATTAGTTTACCTGTGAGAGTACCTATATTCCCATATCCTATCCTAATATTAGTTTCATGAACCAACTTTTTTACCCACAATGTGAAAATCTTTACTTATTTGACAACCGGAGGTTGGTATAGCGGTTATTGGACACTTTTTACTGTATTCAATTTATACATCACGTCTCTTCTAGGGGACACCCTAACATTTATACAAAGATTTAAAGGATTCATGTCATGATTTTTCGACAAATTTTTTGTTGAATGTCGACTACCTAACGCAACCTTTCACTTTTTGCATTCAGGGCTTGGGGCCCGGCAATAGCCGTATTACCTAAAGCTTTGATACACTGACAAAAAAATGTGGAATGAAATTTGGGTCTCTTTTTTCATCAAGCATACTAACTAATATATATACATGGACAATGAATATATATATAAATATTTTCTTCCTAATTAGATCCCCATATTAAGGGATTTGTTCTATTTCTAAATTGGATCCCCATTGATCCTCATATCAAGGGTTTTATTACATTCCTAAATTAAAAATTTCCTAAAATAAATGTTCGCATTCCTATAGACACTGATTTGGCTGATGGATACCTTGGATGTTCAGTGCATTTTGTTTTCCCTTTTTCTAAGGCAATAGGTATGTCATAATCAACTGGAATAGGAGAGGAAATTGGATTTATGCATACCTCATTTTCAGGAGTAAGACTTGCACAAGTCCGGGTTCTTAGTTTCTCTTTCTCGAATACACCTGTGCATACCTTCTAGGCTCATGCTTGTCATTGGTAGGGACTATTTCAACTGTTTCAGGGATTGGCTCTTCTGGGGACAATTCGAGCTGTAGAGATAACCTTGTGAAAGTGATTTGGAGTCCTGGGAAGAGTAAGCTCTTAATGTGGGTAGCTTATGAAATTGTAGTTCTTCTGCCTTATCTTCCCCATTAAGAGTAGATTTGGCGCTGCTTCATAAGATTGAAAAGAGTTGTTCGTTCTTTTGTATACTTTAGTGTATCCTAAAAAAATACAATTGCAAGTGGTTTGTCCTTCGGTTCATGTGGGATGGTGACTGAAAGTCTAAGTCTATTTGAGATGGGAGTTATTTATAATTACATCACCCATAAAGTGTAGGGTTTGCCATTTCATTGCTTCTTTTGTTATATTCCATGGGATGAAAATCAAAATGCTCCTTGGGTTGCATTGAATCTTTAACACACATTTTGATGCATTTTATTTTTATAATTATTAGGGCACATCACGTATTATCTTGTTAGGGTGCATTGGTGCGATAAAATGCATTCAGTGCTGTTTGAGACTGTAAATTTTGATCAAGTTCATTGATCGCTTTGGGTTTATCAATGTACTATTACAATATTTTGTGTTCTTAAGGTGATCAATGCTGGGCTTTTTTTTTTGTTATTTTTTAGATTATTTAATGTTTGAGTATGTCCATTTCCTAATTTGAACTTATTCAATCAATTGGATCATCTCAATTGTTAATTTTATTTGATCAGCCGTATTGATGCTTGTTTTTTCCCCTTATTTTTTTGTTGAGATTTTAATTTTATGAGATGGGAATACAATTTTTTAGACTTTTGATGGAATTTCGTTATGTATTTATGCTAACTTTATTGATTGCGAAGATTTGATTTTTTTTTATTTGAATTAAATTTAGAGGTTGTCAATCTGGAACTAGATGTCATAAATTCCAACCGTTACAACGGCAAAAATAGTTTGAGTCAGTTTCACACTTCAATTTTCAGACTTGTGTGTGTCTCTTGGATGTGTGATTATTTTGGTTGCAGTTCAACTTGTACCAACATGAGACCTAAACCTTCTTTGCTTGGTGATATTTTTGTATCTATTTTTTTTCCGTCATTATCTTCTTATTTTTAGTTTTTGATTTTCGTCAAGTGTGATATTTTTGAGATTTAATTTGTAGCTTAAAAATTTTAATTGCTTGTTGATTTTTGTGTTTCAAATTTTTTTTAATTTCTTTGATTTCAACTTGTATCAAAATTAATTTGCTTGCTGATTTTTTGTGGTTTAAATTTGTTATTAATTTGTTTGAATTAATTGATTGTTGAATTATCATTTTGTTTCAAATTCTCGTATTTTAAGTTTGCAACTAAATAAATGAGGTTTTGGTGTATTCAGTAGTCTTTGAATAGTGATCGTATGTTTTTTTTGTATCATATTATTTACATTAATGGATTCTTGACTCTTAGACCTTAGTAATCCTGCGCCGTTATTATAAAGCTTGCCATGATGTTGATGACTGTATTTTGCCTAGAGTAATGAATTTGTTTTCTTTTCTCTGAGTTTTCAATTGGTTAATTGCTTTGTTTACAAATTGAATATTCTTTTTATAGGTTTCCTTACACCCTTTCTTCTTAAAAGTTTCTTTAGTTTTTGGAGAATGACCTGAGGTGACTTCTGAGTATCTCAGAAGCCTTAAGGATTTTACAGTAATTTTTTCCTGGCCTTCGAAGAATAAGTTGACCTAGACCATCGAGAGCAAGATATTACGGTTCTATTGACTATGGAAGCAGTTTTTTGTTTAGAACTTAAGAGAGTATCTTAAATTGTTAATCAACTTTTGTCAAAATGAGTCATATATTAATAAACTAATTCCTATGTTGTGAGCTGCTGATGTTTGATAAGGTGAAATAAAAGATTAGAATCTATAAATTGAAAGCCATGTAATTTACATGATCCTTTTCTCTGTCTTTTTTGTCGTGATAGAAACTTGGTTTTTTTTTCCATAATTTGTTTTTACCCTGCTGGAAATTTCAGATTCAATTTTGTCTTGAAGTATTTCTAAATTAAACATTAGCTTCACTTAGTGTAATAAATTTTTATGAGAATCAGTGTGAACTGTGCATTACCTTTTTTTACATCTGGAAGTGATATTTATCTCCTTTCTCATTCCAGGTTCCAAAACATGAGGTTTTCCACAGTTTAAATGCTACTATAGTTGGCTTAGCGGCTAGTTCATCCTCAATTGGGTCCACACCTTGCTGTGTTGGACTTGGTAATACTGATTACTTTTTGCTGTGTGAAATCAAGTATATGCGCATGTATCACATTTTACATTTGGGAAATTATCTTAGTGCTCATTTGGTTGCTCATAGATGCAAATAATATTATTAGAAAGAATTGCATTATTTTTTATTTTGAGTGTGAAATTGAAATCTGTATCTTGTAGGGAGTGTTGAGGATGTTTGTGGAGTTCGAAATGTCCAACCAAATGATGAACTTTACAAACTTTTTCGTGTTTTCCGAACTTTGATTTCTAACTTCAACCAACCAAATGAGCCCTTATGTTATATCTCTTTACTATTAGGTCTAGAAGAAAAAGAAATAATTCTATATTTGAATTTCATAACATAGATTTTTTTAGATGCACGATATAACAAACCTAACTAGTTATAGTTCCTTGTGCTGGAATGATTGAAGAAGATTCATAAATCTTATCCCAAATAGTTGTTACAAGCCTAATGATGATGGTACTCTTCTAGTAGTTATAAATCAAAAGGAGAGCTATTCCTTCAGTTTCTACCTTTTCTTTTTCTTTCTTTTAGTTAAGCATGGAGTTTAGCTTATTGTACTTCAAGCTTTCCTCTAAATTTTATCATGGGATTTGAACAGACGTTCTTTGCTACTCGATTACAATGCATTAGGGGTTGCAATGATGTAGTGTAAATTTTCACCAAATTAACAATGTGGATGTTAGAAAGATATATTGATACCTTTTATATTAGTGAATTTTATGAAATAAAATAAATTATTTAATTCCCTTGTACTTCAAAATAATTGTAATTTTAAAGCAATCACTATATTATGATGGCTTATTGTCAAAGATTCAATAGAAATTTGTATAAATTTATTTGATCAAACAAATTTATCTACACTTTAGAATTCTAAACATGATTTCTAGGACACTATGAACAGAATTTTTCATTATAATACTAGATATACTAATTGTGCATCGTGAAAGCAGTTGTGTTTATGTTTTGCATAAATTTTCGTATGTTAGTCTTTACCAGACTGTATCTTTTGGATATCTGTGCGTTTTCAAATTGGTCTATTATGAGCTCATAACTAGTAGATGAATGAATGATTCTATACCTCATATCATTAAGAATAATGTTAAGGATTATTTATTCGCTACCATTGTATCGAGGATTGCTGCATTAGGAGAACTGTTTTTGAGCCGAGTATAGCAATGTCTTGAAGTTACCTTCTATAAATATGATAATTAGAGTGGTAGGACGGCTTTGACAAAGCTGAGGGGCAGTAAGCAGCAACTGAGTGCTGGAATAGTTCCAAGCGTCATATTGGGCATGCCCTGAAAAGTTTGGAGTTTGATAATTTATGAGGGTAAAATGATGATGCATGATTTTGTGAAGTTTTATTTTAGACAGTAACTAGTAATTTCAAGACAGCTTGACTTTTTAAACTAGTGCTTCTATAATCCCGCATTGTTGTAATTATTCGATTTGTATTTATAGATATTAATGATAATCTACAAATAATGTTTTAGCATGTTGATTAAGACAATTATTTAAGGATTTGTTGGTGCTATGCGTCTTGGAGAATGTTATAAATTACTTTCGTAATTTGTTTGGTTGTTATGCTTGTCTAAAAATGCTATCAACGAAACTCCATTTTTTTGTCATTTTGGATCATTATTTTCGTACTGCTTTAAAACTCTGATTTTCTTATAACAACTTTTGAACAGGCTTTTATAAAAATAAAAGCTGAACCAAACAATGCCTAAATGCTAAAGCAACTCTATTGATAAGTTTGCCCTTATTTCGTGCCAGTTAGCAAATATGTTTGGAGAAAATTGATTTGTTCTGAAGCTCTTTACAAATTTTTTTTTAAAAAAAAAGAAGAAAAAATAGTATTTTGAGATTTGGAATCATCAAACTCCTACTACAAAATCATGTTTTTTCTCATATCATTATGGATAAAAACGAATTTAAGATTTTAATTATTTCTTTTCTCGTACAATTTCGTATTGTGTTTTTCTCAATTCTTTCAAGGGAAATTTACATACATTGCACGCTATTCTTATGTATTTACATATCTCGCACATAAACTTTCATATTTACACATTAGCACTTTGGTGTTTTAAATTTCGGCATGAAAAGGTTTTTTTGAATTTTAAAATGTGGAAATAGTGCTAATTTTGATGTGATGAAAGATTTCAGTGCTATATGTGTATATATGAAAGTTTAGGTGTGAGATATGTAATTACATAAGAATTGTGTGCTCTGTATGTAAATTCCCTTTTTTTCAATTATTAAGAAGTGGCTTTGTTGTTTTTCTTTTTTAAATTCAAATAGAGATCATAATAACAGAACCTTAATTTGTTGAAACTATTTTCATTTTTTCCGAAACTCTGTTGTTCTAAAGCTTGGCAGCACCCTTTAAAGTTCCCTCTAATGTTTTAATAATGGAGGGAAAAACTATGATGATTAGATAACAAAATTATTAGTAATTCCCAAATGGCTTGTATTTTCAGTGAAACTTGAAACTCAATACTCGGATATCAGAAATAACCGGATCAGTAGCAAAAACTGCTTAACTTCACCTAAGTTATTTGTTACATTGACGCCTAGGCTAAGGGCAAATTTATCTTTTGTACGCCTAAGGATAACTTAGTTTATTATTATTATTATTGTTGGGTGTAGATAAACTGACTATGTTCAGTGTTAGATTCTATTCATGAGATTATTGTGATGAGTATTAGGTTTAGAGTTTGAGAGAAATCAATTATAAAAAATCGTCTACTTTTTGAATTGTAATTACTTATCTTTTGTATTTGTGCGATTTATTGGTGCTGGATTGCTTTGAATTGGTGTTCGAGAAATAAAATGTATTTGCTCTAATTTTTATGGAAAAACGTGCCAGGTTTGGCGGCGAATCGTGTCAAATTGGTATCAGAGCATTCGACCTAAAAGGATTGCGGTATGCAAGCCCTACGTCGTGCATGGTGACGATCTAAAAAGGTATCGCAACATGTAGGTCTTTGTCGCATTGCAAAACAATTGTGGTTGAAGCTATTAGGGATGCAGCGTGGGATTGCGCGTGATGACATATCACGATTAGAGCCGGCGAGAGGGCCGCGGGGGATCTTTGCGAACAGAGACCTGAAGCCCCCAATTGGAACAGAGACCCGTCATAAGGGCGGTTGCGGCGAACAAAGACTTGAAGCTCCCATATTTTAGGTCGTGGGGGATCGTAGCGAACAGAGACCTAAAGCCCTCATCTTTTGAGATCGTGTCGATTCATGCAATGCAGTCATGTAAAGAGCCGACGTAAAAGCATAGAAGGAATCATGACTACAGGATCCGTCTTCGTGTGATCGAATCTTGCGATACAGTTGCGGTAGGTGATATCCGGGAAGTGATGACGGGATTGACATTATCTAGGAATACTGATTTGCGGTGTAGTCGCGATAAGAGCTAGCTGAGAATAGATGACGAGATTTCAGGGTATAAAAATTTTGCCTTTGAGATCGAAAGTTTCTCTGGAAGAGATGACAAAAAAGAAAGTAAATGATTTGGAGAAGAAATTAGAGGAAGAGATGAGTCGAGTTAAATATGGGATGGAGGAAAGGTTCTCCATCATAGAAGGAAGTTTTTTATCCATGGAAAACTAATTTGCGGGCCGTTTCAAGCTTGGAAGAAACATTTAGGAAGTTTATTGAGATGCGATTCATGACCCCGCCGATAGTTTAGTTGCAAGCCCTAACCAAGGGTTGATCGAATATTCATTGGCTAAATCGAAAGGGAACGAGATCAGACAAGAGGAACACGAGGAGGAAAGCATCCACCATTAAGATTCTCCTCCCATGGCTCTGATTGGAGGTGCATTAGAGATTTTAGATGGAGGCGATTGGGCCGAAACATGAAGAATGGATATGCAAGAGGTATGGAGGAGCACAAAGAAAAAAGAAGAGAAGTCAGGAAAGGATATGTCTATTGATTGAAGGAGGGAGTTTTACCCTCAATACCTAGGGGAAATAGTGGAGGAAGAGGAAGTTGGGGTGGTGATGCTTGGGTTAAGAAGTTGAAAATATCGATCTTCGATGGGGAAGACACACATGGGTGGGTGTATAGGGTAGAGTGATGCTTCGCGGTGAATTGTCTAGATGTGGAAGAGAAACTTATGGTAGCAGGGTTATGTTTGGAGGGGAAAATCCTAGCCTGGTTTGTGTAGAGGGAGGCTAGATACCTTATCTTTTCATGAGAGAAATTTAAGAGTTATTTGTTGGAAGGATTTCGAGCCATTCAAGATGGAGACCTATGCGAGCAATTTTATGCCTTTACTCGGGGGAAAATATTTGCGTACGTAAGACGTACGCAGAGCTGCGTACGTTGGGAGGTTATTCAGAGGGTATAAGGGGGTTACATCCGTGTTATAGTGTTATACCCCTCCGTGTTATACCCCCTTTTAACCTCCCTGTAAACTACTTGTAACTTATCTGTAACCTACAAATAAGTTCCGCGCTTCTATAGTTTCGATAGTTACAGGTAAGTTACAGGGAGGTTACAGAAGGTTATAATGCGGATATAACCCGCCTGTGCCCTCTGAATAACCTCTGACATACGCCGCATTGCTTACGTCTTACGTACGCAAATATTTTTCTGACTCAGGAGGGGACTATCATGGAATATAAAGAGAAATTTGAGCTATTGTCAAAATGGTTGAGAGAGATTCTTAAAGCAGGATTGGAGGGGAATTTTATGGACTTAAAGCCTCACTCGAACTATTGAGACCGCGGTGATTGAGGATTGATGGTGGAGGACAAGAACAAATGTAGAAAGTCAATAGAAGAAGCACAAATAGCATAACACCGAACTATTACGACCACGTCGACACCGAAAGCTCAAAGAGTGAAATTCTATAAGGAGGCTGCACGGGACAGTAATATTAGACAATGACCAGGAGTGACGCTTAAGCACCTTATAGAGACAAATTTTGGATAAGCAAGCTAAGGGTTATGTTTTTCGGTGTGAC